ACAGTCTGGACTTGATGGTGCAGGATCACAGTTAAGTTCTACACCCAAAACTAGTCTCTTCACTTGTCATTGTGGGTTCTCTCCAATCTCTCTTATCAACTATGTCCTAGGGATAAAGCACAGATTATTGTGATCACCACAATGTGGCCTCCCCAGCACTGATTCAGCATGCTCATGAACATGGTGGTGACCCCTTCCCAACAGTCTGGACTTGATGGTGCAGGATCACAGTTAAGTTCTACACCCAAAACTAGTCTCTTCACTTGTCATTGTGGGTTCTAGAGGCGGTCCAAAGGTCTTCCTGAGAAATCGGAAGCCATGCATAAGACTAACTTACGTGGTCAAGTAGATGACATTTTCCTGCTGGGCCTCGGAGAGCAGCATTTCTCCTTTGTATTCTTCATTGCAGTCCATTTTGGATTACTTACTGCAATTCAAGAATCGGAATCTTACATCAGAGTGCACCTTGTGGTCATCTTCACATTCTACCAGCCGATCCAGAGTCATACAGTCAAATTCCTGAAAGGTCTCCAGAGGCTTTACGTGCAGGTACGGTTCCTCGGCCTGCAGTGGGATCTTAACCCAGTTCTCTCCATTTCAAGCCACTGAGTTCCTGGCTCCCTTTCCCACATGTCCTGGAAGATTACTTTCCTTGTGGCGGTGATGTTGGTGAGATGAGTATTGGAGTTTAAGGCCTTGACCGTGGAACCACCGTAGACTGTCTTTCACAAGGACAACGTCCAGCTGTGGCCCCTTCCACCCTTCATGCCAAAGGTGGTATTTTTCTTCCATATATTCTTCTCAGTGTTCTGTGCTAAGCCACACAAGACTGCTGAAGAGAGGCAATTTCACATGTTGGCCTTTTACTTGGTACATACTAAGCCTTTCTGTAAATTAACCCAGTTCATCATTGCTTCCAACTGGATCAACTCTTGCATAAAGTCCTGGAATGTGTTGGCAAGAGTCCTGCACTTCTGCCAGTTGTCAGAGCCCATACAGCTAGAGCGCA